TCTGCCCCTTGCTAGACTGTGTGTGTGTGCTGCGGTGACAAGAGTGGGGATGGCTGGCCGTGTGCTGTTGGTGTGTGCCCTCTGCGTGTTGTGCTGCGCCGGCGGCGGTGCCGGTGCGTGGGGCGGCGGCTACTGCACGGATAGTGACTGGAGGGGCTTGAGGGCCGTCGCGAAGGACATGACGGAGGCGGAGATTGAGGGAAAGTACTGCAGCCGCAAGCCAGAGTTTGCGCAGGGGCTGCGGGTGATTCCGCAGGCTGTTGGTGGTGAAGGTCTTTCTACAGGCACCGGCGCGAGTGGTCCGAGCAGCGGCGAAGGAGACAATTTTCATACCGAGGAAGGACTGCAGCGTACAGGCAACCAAAATCTGTCCAGTGATGCAAGTGGGAGTAGCCGATTGGATTCGTTGGAAGAGAATGGCAGTGAAGGACGAGGCGGATCACCGGGAGGCATGGAGAGAGCAAATTCTTTGGAGCCGAAGGGACCATCACCGCCAGAGCGAAAAGAAGGTGAGAACTTACAGTCAAGTGACAGCAGCAAAAGTCAAACCGAAAAGGGAGTGAAGACTCAGGAGGGAGGAGACTCACACGAGGCGCCAGCAAAACCACCAGCGACTCCGCCATCTGAAGACAATGCACCGAGTACGACGGTATCGGAGCCTTCTACACCAAAGAAGGAAGGTGGGGAAGAAGGGAGTGAAGAGAAGGGGAAATCGAAGGGAAAAGTGCAAGAGCAAAAACAAACGGGGGCTCCTGCACTGTCTCCATCTACAACAAAAAACGAACAGCCAATGACAATTGGATCGTCAGCGGAGGCTGGACAGAAAAATACACAGCCCGACGATGCACCAAAGGCGGATGAAGAGAAAGTCAAAATAACGGAAGTTGAGGGCGCCCCACAAAACACTCAGACGACAAAAAATTGGGACGACGCGAGGGCAACTCCACAAAATTCCCCTGCAGGTGACGGTGCCACTGCCAGCGGTCAGGCTGGACAGACCACTACGGGGGATGGCAGTGAAACTCAAACGTCTGTTGCTGTGGTGGGACCGGGAGCAGCAGCTGAGAACGCGGCTGATGCACCGAAGGGCAGTGGGAAGGAAACAGCAGCACAGCCAGTTGCGAGCATCACCGCTAATGCGACAAAGGCGCTGCATGGGGATAGTGACGGCAGCACCGCGGCCTCGCAATGCATCTCCCCCCTTGCGCTGCTTCCTCTTCTTGCGTGTGCGGCGGCGGTTGCAATGTTGGCCGCGTGAGAGAGAGAGAGAGAGAGAGAAAGCCGTGCGCAGCTCGTCCTTTTTATTTTGTTTTGTGTATCTTTCTTTTTGTGTGTGTCCTCCTGCGCGGACTGTCGCCCTCGCCTCAACCCACGAGGCACACACAAGTAATGTGCTCATATATACACTTCCACTCATGCAGGCCCGTTGGTCTTATTTTGCTTTCGACGGCCGCTACCGTTCTGCTTCGCTGCATGGGTAGAGCACCGTAACTGTTTTAATCATTTCAATTGTGTTAGTTTTCATTGCTTTCGGTGGGCGGTCTCTTTCGCCCTCCTCCTTCCTGGATTGGGCTGTACGGGAAACGAGGGAGTG